AAGGAAGGAAGGAAGGAAGGAAGGAAGGAAGGAAGGAAGGAAAAGAAAAGGAAGGAAGGAAGGAAGGATTCCTTTTATACTAGGAAACTCTAATACCACTTCTAAGCTTCTGCTGAGTGTCATTTATGCAGTAGTTGCATTATATATGCATTATTCTATTCAATTTTCACAACATTATAGGTTAGAAACTATTTTGACCCTCATTTTATTTAAAAAAAAAAAAAATGTCAAAGAAGTTTAGTAACACTCCCAAAGTCAACTACTTAGGGAATCCTAAGGAAGAAAATATATGTTAGTAAAAGGTAAAAATATTCTTAATTTTAATTATTATACTGAATGGTTAGCTATTTTATCTCTCTTTAAAAACGAAAATAATATTATTTATCTATTAGAATAACTCTTTTTTTTGCAAAAATTCAAAACATCTAGAAAGGTATAAAGAAAAAAAGATGACTTCTAATCTTATGCCACTTAGAATAATGACCATTAAAATTTTCATCTCTACTCTGGCTAACTTTTCTCGATGCATATATACCCAGATACTGCCTTTTTTTTTTTTTTGAGATGGAGTTTCGCTCTTGTTACCCAGGCTGGAGTGCAATGGCGCAATTTCGGCTCACCGCAACCTCCGCCTCCTGGGTTCAGGCAATTCTCCTGCCTCAGCCTCCTGAGTAGCTGAGACTACAGGCACACGCCACCATGCCCAGCTAGTTTTTTGTAGTTTTAGTAGAGATGGGGTTTCACCATGTTGACCAGGATGGTCTTGATCTCTTGACCTCGTGATCCAACAACCTTGGCCTCCCAAAGTGTTGGGATTACAGGCGTGAGCCACTGCACCCGGCCAGATACTGCCTTTTTTAACCCCAAAGTAGCTCACCCGACACATACTACTTCATTACTTACCCTCCCTGGCCAACCAACATACCCTGGACATTTCTTCAAGTTAATAAATATGAATGTAATTTTTATGTATGATAATACCATAGTTTATTTAATCATATTTTACTAATATTTAAGTAATTTTGATTTTTTTGCTGTTACCAATGATGTTGCAATGAATAAAGATCCGCTGAATAGTGTGTTGAATATTTGAGCAATTTCTCTTAATATAAATGATTAGAAAGAAAACTGCTGAGTCAAATGGTAAATGCTTTTAAAAAGCTCTTTATTTCAATTTTTTAAAGTATATTTAATATCTTATAAAAAGTTCAGTGCTACTATGAACTTGTACTAGAGGGCATCAAAGGATCCAGAAAAATGCTGCCCAAATCTACAAAACTTTATAGGAAAAAAACTTATACCATTTTAAAGTTGTTAAAATACTTAAAAGCAAGAGCCAAATGCTACTGCCACACAAGCTCTCACAGTAGTTATATGTGTTTGCAACACTCTATTTCAGCCTATTGATGGACAACACAGGACTGTGGGAGACAAAATGATTTCAAAAATGGCCCTGCTATGCTAGAAAGCATGAATAAGGAGGCTATACTGTCCTAAAGAGCTTTCTCAATCATATCTACAAGGGGCTCACAGATTAAAGAGCATCCTACTGCAAAAAGGGAGGTTGGTCTATACATCCATTTCAATATATTAGCTATACATTCAAAAGACATCAATTTTATTAATCCACTAACTCACACCACCAGATTCCTTTTAGGCAATCAGGGCCAAATCACTTTGCCAAAAGAATGCACTTTCCTGCAGTGTTTGATGGTTCCAGTTTATTCCGTTTACTTCAACATAATCAAATTCATACTGAGACCATATTACAGATGTGCTAGGTCCTAAAAGTCTTTACATAATCATCTAATTCAAATTTATTTCATTTTTACTCTACTCTTGGTATCATAATTTACCATACTTATCAAAAGTTTTAAAATCTGACTTGTAAGTTGCTTGCTGTTTCAAATTTATATGGATGCTTTCACCTCTCCCCATTTAAAATTGAATACATGTCTTCCACTCTTTGCCAGGTTAGTTCTTTCTTCCCAATTTAGATGCTTAAATGAGGTCCTTAGCCTAGGTTATTAAAAAGGAAGAGCTGAACAGATCTTATCAGAAGTTTGTTTCAGATTATCAGGAATATGGAATGAGGGTGAGATTTTAAAATACTCTGATGAACTTTTATAAATAATTTTAAAATATATGCTCAGTTGGATTATGTTGTATCTTACAAATTACAGAAGTAAATAATTCAAATTCTGTTACTTGCACAGAAAATAAACATAATTGACTGAGAAGGAAAAACAAACTGAAAACTAAGCTTTCAGAATTCTCTCTTCCTCATTATCAAATAAACTCAAGTAATGTCCAAATCAAAGTATGAAACAACTTTTCAACAGAGACTTAAGATTTTTCCTAAATCCTACCCTTTCTACCACACTTCTGTGAACAACAGGATAATGATAGCTCTACATATACAAATTATCTCTTTGGCCGGGCGCGGTGGCTCAAGCCTGTAATCCCAGCACTTTGGGAGGCCGAGGCAGGTGGATCACAAGGTCAAGAGATCAAGACCATCCTGGTCAACATGGCGAAACCCCGTCTCTACTAAAACTACAAAAAATTAGCTGGGCATGGTGGCGCGTGTCTGTAGTCCCAGCTACTCAGGAGGCTGAGGCAGGAGAATTGCCTGAACCCAGGAGGC